AACAACGTGGAAGAACAGAAGTATAATGTCTCACCAGCATCGCTGTAACCCTGGAAGGGGAGGAATCCTAACAAATACAGCCATAATTTGCCATACATTCCTACTGTTCACGTGAACCTTCCAAAATTAATAAATCAACATTTCTGGAAAAACATTTGGCCTTTTCTTCAGGTTTAGAAGTGTCAAGTTAATCCCTGACATTCTAGTTTCCATTTTTTAAAAAGGAACTCTTTCTTCTCCAACACTCCTAAGTATCTAGATGTTTTTAACACAACTGAAGCTAAGTAGACTTCCTTAAGTAAAATGGCTAGTAAACCTCCCTATAGAACTAAAATACTAGTAGGGTTTTAATAACATAAATGAACAATTCTATATTGAAGTGATAAAAAGGAAAAGCAGCAGAGTTTTAGGAATTAAGAAAGAGAATAAAACTAAGTTTAAAATCTACTTAATATCCTATCATATGACTGATAAACAACCTCTTCAAAGACAAATGAGTAGGAACCATCTTAACTTTATGAGAAAACAGGCACTATCAGCTTCATGTTTTTAAAACTAAAAATGTTAGGTGTTTCCTGAGAAGATTCTCTAAATTTATTTATAATTTCAAGAATTACATGCAGAACAAAGCAGCTGACTAAATGCTCTTTGTTGAAGAACAGATGTTCAGATCATTAAAAAGCCCTTAGGATTTCCCATTCTTTATGAAGAAAAATTTCCTTAGTAAGTCTCACTCCTAGTTTCAGCCTCCAATTCTCTGTGCTCAATTCAAACCAGGTATCCTCATACACACAATGTCTCCTGTACCTACATGATTCTTCTCATGAGACACTACTGACCTGAATTCCACCTGACAGATCTCCCACCATGCAACACTTCCTCAAGGCAGTCTACTCTGACTGCCCAAACCCACATGAATCCCTCCTCCAGGATCATTTGGCTTTGATCCCACTGTATACCTCTTCTTGATAGAAACCACAGGTGCAAACTTAAGCTTGTATCCTTAGTTTCTTTCCACATTTATAATACAGGCTTCTCAGGCGGTGCTGTGGCATAACAGATAAAGCCGCCACCTGCAGTGCTGATGTCCCATGTTGGCACCAGTTTGAGTTCCAGCTGCTCTACTTCTGATCCAGCTCTCTGCTATGGCCTGGGGAAGCAGAAGATGGCCCAAATCTTTGAGCCCCTTCACCCACTGGGAGACCTGGAAGAAGCTCCTGGCTCCTGGCTTTGGATCAGTGCAGCTCTGGCCTATGCGATCATTTGGGGAGTGAACCAGCAGATGGAGGACCTCTCTGTCTCTGCCACTCTGTTAACTCTGCCTATCAAATAAAAAAATCTTTAAAAAAAAAACCCACAAACTTCTATACAGGATAATGTATGATATTAATCACCACTTGCATACCCTTTACACAGCAGAGCACACAGCATGCATATATTTCTAAGTAGATAAATGTGATGATTAAATGAATGAGACAAATTTTTTCTTATCTAAAGTATATTGGCACGATAATATTTATCCATCTATTGCTTCTTGAAAAATGGAAACAATGTACCTAGTTTTGATCTACAACATAAATATCAGCACCTAAGGACTTCACTGCCATTTTATAAATCTTTTGACAGATATCCTCATTAATCACCATCTGTTTATGCGTGCTATTCTAGATAACATTTTGGTTACATTTCTGAAACATTTCCTGCCATTAACCTCATCTCTAGAATACCAGCTAGTACGAAGCACCTGGATTTCAGGAACACAAACCTGAAACCCACACACCAAACTAAACTGTTATGTAAATGACAGAAATGACACATTTTGGTCTCAACATCTCTTAGAGAAAACTTCTAGACCAATTTAACTTTTACCACTAAGACCCTGTCACTTAATTACAGTCATTTGGAGTCCATGATAGATGCCCATGATAGATGGATCAGAGATGAAAAATAAACAATTTTCCAACAATGTTTACAAAAGTCAGTATTTAAGGACATCTATTAATCCCGGTTTGTTAGAATCCCACTAACTTATTTGGTCAAAAGGGACATCATTTTTTTGTCTGAAGATACCACAAGCTTAACTTTGTAAGAAAAAGATCATACTTTGTTCATCAACTAAAACTAGGTCTGGATTTGTGTTTTGTAGTTTTTATATGCATGACCCCAAGTCAGTGAAATGAATCCCTGAGTTTCATTTTCTCATAGGTAAAATCAATGAATGATTCCTATATCCTAAGATGATTTTGAGGCTTCAACATGCCCAAGCATGCTCAGTGCTGCTCCCTTCTCCCCCGGCTATACAGGAATTATATTAGGATTCTGCAGAGTAACATAAGTATTTTAGTAAAAACTACACCCTTCAATTATCTATTACTAGACCAGAATTTTTAGGTTTTTAAAAAATGTTTTTCTTACTAATTTTAAGCTCTTAAATAGTGCGGATTTATATCTACAGAAATGACAGTGCTAATTCATCAAATTCTTGCATAAATAAAAGATACACTTAAACAGAATATCACAAAAATAAAAAGTAATCAGATGTAAAGAAGCTAACAGAAATGTGATGCTACCTTCAGATCATAAAATTTTTCTAACTACAACAGAGAGCCAAGCCCTGTCATTCCTCCAGTGAAAGCACAGAAGGTTAAAATAATTTATATTCAATTATGTATCTCACCTCTAAAATTTTACAAATTCACATAAGAAACAAGATGGAAAGGGGGCAAAGCCAAAAGGAAAGTTACAGCCTTCTAGGTCAGGAAGAAGCAATAAAGCCCTGGGGCTCTTCATCTCTTTCTGTTTCAGAATAAACTGCCCAACTGCTCTGACACAGGAAAGACCAGGCAGGAAGCTCTGCCCTAAAACAGTCCCCATCTGGCTGCCAGGCTTTGTCAAGCAAATTTTGAGAATTCTCTACCTTCCCACTTTCTAAATGATTATAGATATTTTCAAAAACTATTATTCCCCACTGCCAGCATTCTTTCTCTTTTCCTTCCCTGTAAGAATCTTTTGGTGTTAAAGACGTCACAGCAGGAGCTTCAGACAATAAGAATTTCTTTGTTAAGTAATAGTAAAATGCACTTTCCCTACAGGAGCTTAAAAAAAATGATATGAATATACAATTCAGAGCTTAATCCAAATAATGATGCAGAGTATAAATCTCAAAAACTGCTGTGGAATTCTTTTGGAAATGTCTTCAAAGTCTATGGTATATTTTATTCAACTAAATCCTATAAATAAGATAATTTCATAGATTGTGGGAATGCCTAATGATACGTCACTATGGAGCTCCTGGTACATAAAATGAAAATAAAATTGGGGCCATCGCTGTGGTGTAGCCGGTCAAGCCCAAGTCCTTGGGCCCCTACACCCACATGGGAGACCAGGAAGAAGCTTCTGGCTCCTGGCTTCGGATCACTCCAGCTCCAGCCATTGTGGCCATCTGGGGAGTGAAAAAGAGAGATGGAAGATTGATGTCTCTCTCTGTAACTCTGCCTTTCAAATAAATAAATAAATCTGTAAAAAAAAGTCTACAAGCAAAAAAGAAATGATCCTTATTCTTATTTTTCTCTTTGAACAGTTATGTGATCCTCTATAAAAGGTTATAAAAAAAAACTACAGAAGTAACTATGGGTAACGTTGCGGAATATTGAAGATTGCTATAACAATGTGACAAAAGTTTGAATGGAAGTTGATGGAACAAAGACATAAGCCTCAGCCATTCTTGCTCATTGCCCAAAAGACAGATAAACATTGGAATGTACTCCTTGCCCTTGAATCTCACATCCTATTGCCTTCATATCCCACCAGCCACAGCCACCTGAAAGACCAGTTGCTAGAACACGTGAAAGACCAGTACCAGGAATTCCCCTCCCTGCTGCTCCCATCCCCCATCGCCATCCCTAACCCTCCTAAAATATAAAAAGGCCCGGCCCCTGGGGGTCATTCTGCCACGTGTCCCATCAATGTGCCCGCTGGCTGTTGGTCACCCCGCTCTGCGAATTTATTTTCTCTGAATAAATTCGGTCTGGCTGAAAATTCGTACACTGCCTCCTCTCTATTCTTCACGTCTTTTCCTAACAGAAGTTCTACTATAGTCTATGCCTGTGAATTATATTTCTAATTCTTGTTCTTAGGTATATTTTTTACAACAGCGTTAGCTTGCCTTCTGTAATACTGATCATTCAATACTTAATATTACTATATCCAATAACACAGGATTTTAAAAGTACATAAACAGTTTCTTTACCTCATGCAAATATATCTTATGTATATGTATATCTTATGTCTTATGTCTAATGTATAAAACTGAGGAAACAAAAGATCAGTAGATTCTCATTATTCATGACACTTACGTTTTATAAAGTCACTGGAATTAGCAAAGGTTGAACCATTGTCCTTAAGGGAAACAGAGAGTTGTGTTTCTGTGAGCTTTGGTCACAATGTGTTAATCGAATCATTAACAGATAACCTTTTATGTGTGTTAATAGTTAAAAATCAGTACTTCAGCATTTGCCTGAGGTTCATTTTAAGTAGTAAAATCACCATCAAAAAGCATAAAAATGTGAAAAATAGCACTATATAGACTGTGAACATAATGTCTGTTTAGAGTATGAGAGGTAAAACAAGTAGGAAGAGCATCAATTTGCTCAAGTTCTGCTGAGAACTGAGTGTTGAGTAAATCGTACTTTTTACACATCATACACACATACAAATGAGTACAAAAAGTGTTCCAAGTATTGACTTCGATTCACAAATAAATTTTAGCAAACACATGAGTCTGCAAACACAGATTCTACAAATAACTGTCAATTGCATATGAGACAAATAATCCAGTGAAGTCTCTGATTTGACTGTCACCAGAAGTCACAGATCTGAAAAATCCTAACAAATTCAGTTTAGTTAATATGCAAACATAAGTATTTTGGACTAGTGTGCTTTAAGAAGGAAGATGGCTGAGGCTTTGGCCAACAGTTATTTTTTAGAGTGATATTTCTCACCTGATATATTCTAAATGGGATATAACGAAATCCACTTTCTTCTGCAGGATATTCCATGAGTTTGCGATTGATGGCCCAAAACTGGTCAAATCTGTCTGAAATGATATAGATTATGTTATTAAAATGAACACTATAATGGTATAACTCAGTTGAAGAGAAAAAATGTTTTAAATATCCTTCTATGTGTTTCTGAAAGGATATCCTTATTATCTTTTCTTATACATATCTCTTTCTATAACTATGCATAAAGATACAAAATGAACTTTTTCTGTTTTTGCCTCTTTTCCCTAATCACCTTGACGTTTTCTCTCATAAGACAAACTATACAGACGTATAATGATAAGAATCTTCAAAACAAAAAACACCCAAGCAGGGACAGATGGCTTGACTTTCCCGGTCCTGCTCCTACAGTCACAGCTCGAAGTGATCTGTTAACCAGAACTATAAACAAAGCCAAAACCTGAATACAGTAAACATTAAACACCAAAGAAGATAGACGCTTAGAAAGGATAGAGAAGAAATGTTCAAGTGACACTTAAAAATGGACTGCCAATTACACCTTAATCCTAGACAAATTAAACTCCCTTTTAAACCGTTTAGGTTCAATTAAAAAATTACTGCTATAATTTGCATACCATTAAATTCACCTGATGAAAGAACAAGACTCAGAAGTTTTGGTATATCCAGAGTTCTGAACATTGTCATCATCCAAAAAGAAGCATGTAGCTATTAATGAGGGGTTCTTTAAAAAGTTCATGGAAATTGTGTATTATGAGAAGACTCTGTATGATTTCAAAATTTTTATAGCACAATAGCTTTTTAGTGACAGAGGTAAGGGGAGAAACTGAGAGATAGGCATCTTTCCATCTGCTGGTTCACTACCCAAGTGGTTGCCTAGGCCAGGGCTGAAGCTAGGAACTGCACCTGGGTCTCCCACATGGATGGCAAGGGCCCAGACAGTTGAGCCATCATGTGCTGCCTTCCCAGGTGCACTAGCAGGAACGCTGGGTTAGAAGCAGAGCAGCCTGGACTGGCACTCTAATTTACTGTGCTGGCATCACAAGCAGCAGCTTAAACTGCTGCACCACGACACTGGCCCCAATAACCTTTTCTTTTAATTCCCGTCTCTACAACTTTTTGAATTACCCTCATACTTTCTATCTCTATTGCTTGCCAATTCCAGATATTTTATATAAATGGAATCACATAGTATATAGTCTTTAGAAAGTTCCCTTACCACCACTTGGCCACATTTTCAAGGTATGTTCACTTCATGGCATATATCAGAACTTCATTTGTTTTATGGCTGATTGCCATCCCATCCTATGCAGTTACCATATTCTATTCACCCATAAGTTGATGGACATTTGAGTTGTTTATACTTTTTGGCTATTAGGAATATTAACTTTTTTTTTTTTTTTTTGACAGGCAGAGTGGACAGTGAGAGAGAGAGACAGAGAGAAAGGTCTTCCTTTGCCTTTGGTTCACCCTCCAATGGCCGCCGCGGCCGGCGCGCTGCGGCCGGCGCGCTGCGGCCGGCGCACTGCGCTGATCCGATGGCAGGAGCCAGGAGCCAGGTGCTTTTCCTGGTCTCCCATGGGGTGCAGGGCCCAAGCACTTGGGCCATCCTCCACTGCACTCCCAGGCCACAGCAGAGAGCTGGCCTGGAAGAGGGGCAACCGGGACAGAATCCAGCGCCCCGACCGGGACTAGAACCCGGTGTGCCGGCGCTGCTAGGCAGAGGATTAGCCTAGTGAGCCGCGGCACCGACTAATATTAACATTCTTGAACAAATCTTTGTGTGGAGGTTTATTCAATCCTCCTGGGTAAGTACTTAGGAACTGCTGGGTCATATGGTAATTCTGTTTAACTGTTATGTTGTAACTGTGTTTTGAAAAACTGCCAAGGCTTTTCCAAAGTGATGGGATTACTTTACATTCCCATCAGCAATGCACTAAGTTTTAAATTTGTCTACATCGTTGTCAATACTTGTCATCGTTGGTCATTTTCATTGTAGTTATCCTAGTGGGTGTGAAGTGATATCTCATGTTTTTGTTTTGTTATATTCTAATTTGGAAAGCAAAAGAACAGAGACCTTTCATTTGCTTGCTTATTCCCCAAATGCCACAGTGGGCTCTGGTTGGAGCAGAAACCAGGAGCCAGGAACTCCATCCAAGTCTCCCACGTGGGTGGCAGGGGAATCCAAGTGCTTGAGCCATCATCTGCTGCCTCTCATGGTGCACATCAGCAGGAAGCTCAACTGGAAGCAGAAGTGACTCAAACCCAGGCTCCCCAACAGGGGATGTCTGTGTCCCAAGCAGCAACTTAACCCACTGCACCCAACAACAGCCCCTCATGGGGTTTTTCCTTTTTTAAAAAAAAATTATTTATTTACTTTAAAGTCAGAGTTACACAGAGAGAGAAGGAGAGGCAGAGAGAGACAGAGACAGAGAGAGAGAGAGGTCTTCCATCCGTTGGTTCACTCCCCAGATGGCTGCAACAGCCGGAGCTGGGCAGATCCGAAGCCAGGAGCCAGGAGCTTCTTCCAGGTCTCCCATGTGGGTGCAGGACTTGGACCATGCTCCACTGCCTTCCCAGGCCATAGCAGGGAGCTGGATTGGAAGTGGAGAAGCTGGGACATGAACCGGCACCCATATGGGATGTCAGCACCGCAGGCAGCGGCTTTATCCGCTATGCCACTGCACCAGCCCCCATGGTGGTTTTCATTGGCATCACCCTAATGACTAGTTACTCTGAGCATCTTCTTGTGTTCTTCCTGGCCATCTATTAAGTATCATCTTTGGAAAAGCATTCAGTAAATACTATGCCCTTTTGCTTGTCTTTATTGTTGAGTTGTAACAGTTCCTTATGTATTCTGGATATACATGCCTTCTACATGACATACAAATATGTTCTTCTATTCTGTATATTGTTTTTTTAAGCATTTCCCTTTTTTAACCCGAAATCCTGCCTTAAGATACTTTTTTTTTTTTTCCTCAAAAGACACAATCAAATCTCTGTAAAGCAGATAAAGAGCACCAGAATTTCAGTTTATCTTGGAGTTCCAAGTACTTCTCTACTAAACAGGCTTGTTTCAGTTCAATCTACTGGCCATCTACTGACACTGCTTAGGCTACTGTAACTATATAAGACAGAAAATACAATTATTTCTTCTTACACCCTGTACTAGAAGAATATCTTAGGCTTTAGGCATTCGCTACTCTCATTTTCAACTCCAATCCAGGGGAAGACTACTACTATATTAGAGCTGAGTGGAGAGTGAATTTTGAATCCAGTTAGTCTAGTACAAATTCACAAAGGACAACTAAGGCCAAATTTGTTACCAATTTAAGGATCAAGACCAGAATCTTGGAATTCTGATTTAAAGTCCCCAGGAGTTTCAATAGTTGCAGCCACAAAATTGTATTGTTACACAAACAGCGACTCCTCTGACACAACACTTCTAGACAGGAAGCATTCATTCTGTCAATCCTTTTTAAGAATGTCTTTCTATGAAGCATAAGAGAATGTGACAGGGAAATAAAAATGACTTTTCATGTAAACTTGGAACTTTTTCTCACTATTGCCTTTTCATGACATCTCCAGTACCAACTACAGTGAGTGCACGGCATACACTCGTGAATTAAAATAAATGCAATACTACAGACTTAACTTTTCATTTAAGAAAACTTAGGTGACTAGACACAAAATCTCTTGAAAATTCTGATGTCATTCACATACAGATAAAATAGAGGAGCTAAAATACTTCATGATGATCACTAAAAATCATTTTTTAAAATTATTTAAGACTCCCTTTATTAACATAGAATCTGTAAAAAAGACACAAGAAACCACTCATGAAAAGAGAGATTTTATAGGTTCTAACAGAGAAAACAAATGGCCTAAAGCAGTGATGCCCAACTAGGAAAGACTTGGCTCCCCGGGAGACATTCAGACTAACGTCCAAGGACACTTGTGGCTGTCGCAACTGTATGTGCGTGCTACTAGCATTATGTGCACCAAAGACAGAGATGCTGCTGAACACAACTGTGATGCAAAGGACAGCTACTCAAAACAATGATCTGATTCAAAATGTCAAAGGGCAAAAGGAAGGAAAGCAAACACAAACAAAAAGTATAGAAAAGTAATCAGTAAAAAGTGACTTTACATAGCTAGACGGCAAGAAAGTAAACTGGGAAAAGGGTCATTCCTGTTCAGTTATCAATTTAGCGACTCAGTTCCAAACTTGCCCTTCATTATATGCGCTGCCATAGGGACACAGACCCTTTAAGAACGGATGGTGACTGTGAGATTTCTCAGCAGAGTACGTAGAGCAGAATGCAGGACAAAGGGCTCTTCTGCGGTTCCCCCGTGCTGCCCGCTGCGTCAGTGGCATGAGTGTGTGTGTGTGTGTATGTGTTTACCTCGGGCTGGACACAATCCTAGCCACAATGCAGATGTGCAACCTTCTTGGTGACCCTGCAGCCTCCCCTTGTCTGGCAATAACTGCCCTCTCCACACAGAACCCAGCACTCCAAAGACGTGTTGCCTGCGCAAGCACAGAGAAGGCCCCTTGTGCACATTCCTGCCTGTTTCCTCTGGAGGCTCACACGGATTGCATTTATACAGTTTCCCTCACGGCCACGCCTTTTTCTGCATGCCCATGAGCCTTTGGCTGAACATCTGCATTCCTGATCAGGGACTACCAACCAGCCTGGGCAAAACAGTGACCTCTCTGAATTCAGTGGGCCAATCTATACCTTCCCCATCAAGATCGAAACTGCAACCTTGGTGAAGGATCCCTTAAGAGTTTGCCTCTCCTCCCTCAACCCTAGGTACCATACACAGTTTTCTCATATTTACAGTCCCTCTTTTACCAGAGTTTAATAATTCTTTGTATCAAACTTACCCTGTTTAACCCACTGTGTGGTTTCTATCTCCTGACTGGACCCAGACAGACAAAACTATGTTTAAAAGGAAGAAAGATACAATAAAAGATCTGTATTAATTATCATTAGTTAAATGTTATATTCTTATATGAAATAGTCATTTTCTAAGCAATGCTAAAAATATACTATCCAAGAATAAGCTAACA